CACTCAGTGAAGCTCTTTGCAGATTCAAAATACATTTTGAGGAAATGTATTTTCAGATGCCAAGTAAACTGCATCATGGCAGCCCCCCTCCCGCACCGAAATGAGCAAAACGGAAGCCGAAGGTGGTTCTTAAAGAGACAGAGGCCAATTTCAAGGCGTTTAGAAGAGGAAGTGATGAGAAAAGTTTATTTTCTATTTAAACATAAAAACAGCATTTTAATAACAACTAAAGGTGACATAGATGCTTTATTATGGTATAGTATTTAAATATACGCCTAAGAAACACATATATTGGCCCTTTAAAACCCCTAATCCAATGATGTGAGTATTTAACGTACAATGAAGGAGGCTTTTTAGCAGTTTTGTGTCAGTGTGCAGTAATAACCATAAAAAGACAAATTGTTTGAAAAGACATGGCAACTAAATTGCAATAATGTTTGTTTGAAAAGCACACAAAAAGCAGATTTTGAGCAAATTGTTCTTTACGCTGTCGGAACGTACAGATCTCTCACAGCCATGCTTTAGTATCTCATGGCTCTGCAATAAAATCTTTTCCACAGCCGCCTCCTGAGAGGCTCTGCGCGCTCCTCACTGTGTGAAGTTTATCATCTTACCTCCGATTGCACTGCACCTGGAGATCATCTCCCACAGAACAAGAGCCATGGAATAAACATCAGCCTGCTTGAAAGACTCGATGTTTTCGAGATTGATCCTGGACTCCAGCACCTCGGGGGCCATGTATCTCGCTGTGCCCACCTGAAAGACAACAGAAGACAATTCATGGGACTGTAGTTTGTGAGAAGAAGGTTTTTAAAACCAGCAGATGATTCTTTTTCTTTGTTTGCTTCGTTAAAAGTAACCCTTTTAATTCCACGTACAACATGTCGCAACACATTCATCTGAATGTAAACACGACTTATGTTAAGATTAATTGGAGAGCTCGGAGTTCATCTTTTAACACGTTATTGTTACCTTGAAAAAAACGCATTCAGTAGAGCTTCCTTCACATGCATTAAAGGCATTATAATGTATTAGTTGTGCCGTGCAGCAAAGGCTGAGCCCTTTTCACGATGAGTCATTCTCAAAACAGAACGCAACGCAGCTCGGAATGATTACTTCCCTATAGTAAGTCCATTAAGCTTCACCCCAGGATTATTTGTCTTGTAACTCTTATAAAACCACAACCTGAGGGCACGGACTCAACTATTTTCACTAGACTGGTGCCAAGATATGGAGAGCGCCAAATATTTAGAGTTAAAAAGTTWAAATTTAAAGTTAGACTATCAGCATGGCTCAGATATGTAAAGTAATATGTGGCCGGCACAGAAATATCTAGATTAGACTTATTTTAGGGATYTTCTCGTGCCAGTTTTGGGTATCGGCTTCATGGTAATGAAGGCCTCCATCATCATCATCAATGAGGTGAAAAGGCATGATTAAAAAGCACGATGCAAGTCCTCCACCACAGGTCACYGATGAGCCTAAAAAGCTGCTCCACAGACGGCGGCACTAAAGTAACGCTAGGCTAATGCTAGGCTAATGCGTCARAACAACTTTTCTTCACTTGTGTTGCTGAAAACTGGAAGTTTTAAAAAGGTGAACGACAGAAAAGTCTTTGTTCAGGATTGTTTATATTTCATCTTTTAGTTATCGAGCAGGAATAGTGCCTGCGTTGTTCTGAAAACGGTGGTGAACATGATGAACACCTTTTCTGACGACAGGGTCGTGTTTGAACAAATTATAATATGTAAAAYGGACKTTKTRATCTTTATATCATGTTATAATGTCATCTCTCCAAGTGTTGCTTTGACTCATTCATACATGTTTGAGAAATCATTGAATCTCCTGTGGTAGCCACGTGGAGCTGCCTAAAGTTTTTACTGGTACAAAGCTCCGCCTCTTTAYACAAAGCTCCTCCCCGGAGCTCAGTCTGCCGTCGAGCTCCCGCCCCACAGAGCAGCCCTCCCTGAAGCATTGCTGTGAAGATATGCTGAAGTGGGAGTGTCTGAAATGGTAGCGACTGAGGCCAATTTCAAAGAGTTTCAACAGACTACGATGCAAAATCTAATTTATTTTTGAACAACTGAAGGTAACATAGTTACTTGACTGATATAGAATTGACCTATGTGCCTGTAAAAATACATAATATCCCCACATTTAATTACAATTAACTTTTGATGGAAAAAATGTTACTAATATGACTTTAACAGATAAATCGCATGTAATTAGAGATTCCACTAATGGTAAAACGTGTTACTAGCCGCGTTTCCATTGCAAATGTGCGCAAAACTTTGTCGATATTCTGTTAATGTCGAAAAACAGTTTCGCAACTGCGGTGTTTCCATTAGKAAGAAATGCTATTAAAATCACGCGTGAATACGTTTGTTCTCGCGATAAGTCATTACAAACAAGGCGGCAATGGATGCAAACACATAGCATATTGCTACCACGACACTAGCGCTCATTATCAGCCATCAGAGGAGACGTCGGCGTCTTATCGAGACTTTCGAGTGACAAGCTTCTTATACTTGGGAGCGGCTACGTATGCTGTGTTTTTGGGAAAATGTAGTCGGTGAGTTTAATACTTTCTTTTACTACTTCGGTGATTTTACTACTACTTTTACTTCTTGTTATCTTCTTCTTCGTCGCATTTTTGCCGGTAGAAACAGCCGGTTGTTGATCACGTGACTCCCGTGATGCGAAAAAAGTGTTTCCATTGCAGTTTTGCGAAATACATCAGTTTCGATTCGGCCGAAAAACCACCTCATCCTAGTGCAAAACCATTTTGTTGAAAAACTTATATTTTTTTTTGAAATTGACGTGTTTCCATTGAGCAAATTTATTTTCGAAATTCTAATTTGCACATTTTCATGGTCAATTTAAACGCAGCCTTTGGTGCCTCACTTCTTAATTCCCCCTGAGTCAAATCAAATTAAAACGAAACCTTAAAAGTCTTACCTGGCCGCTGTTGGCCAGCTCATCCACTGACAGGGAGCTGTCCAGCCGCAGAGCGAGGCCAAAGTCACAAAGACAGCAGGTCAAGTCTTTCTTCACAAGGATGTTGGAGCTCTTAATGTCCCTGTGGGCCACTGAGACCTTACAGCGGGCACAGGGAGTCTGGTCACTGTGAAGGTACGCCACTCCGCGGGCTAGAGAACTCCCCAGCAGCCACAGGTCGTGCCAGCTGATAACATGGCGGCTCAGATACTCTTGGAGGTTTCCCAAAGGCTGGTAAGCCGTGATCAGCCAGTACTGCCTCTGCRCTTTCCTCTCCTCTGCCGTCAGGAAGTGCAGCACGTTCTCGTGCCTCAGGTCCGCATCCGAGAAAACGTCCTTCTCGTTCTTCCAGGAAGCGTACTCCTCGTACGTGAAGATCTTAACGGCCACGGTCTCAAAGCCCATCTCCTCGCTGATGGAGACGCCCTGCTTCAGYTTGGCTCTGTAGACCTCCGCGAAGCGCCCTTTGCCCACCAGGGCRTCCAGCTCGATGGGCAGCAGCTCGGTGTTGTGGTTGAGGGTGTTGGCGTGCGTGGAGCTGCTGTCCGAACCCTCGTCGTTCATGATGGGGGCGTTGCTGAAGTCCAGCGGCGCGCCCTTCTTGTGGATGGAGTGGGCCTGGCGCTGGCGGTAAACCCGGTAACAGTAGAAGAACACGATGACTACAAAAGCCACGACCAGAAGAGGCACCAGGCAGATGATGATGACGGCCACCAACTGAGCATCTGTGATGGAGAAGAAGAAGATTTAGAGACGCGTTTTAGAACCGCAGAAAACATGTCGGATCACTTTCTGGTGCCGTTCAGCTGGTGGCTGATGCCCTGCAGTGACAAGTGTTTATRATTAATACAACCCCTGGCAAAAAGTATGGAATCACCAGTCTTGGATGAGCACTCATTCAGACATTTCATTCTGTAAAACAAACTCAGATCAAAAACATGATACAACAATAAGGTCATTCCAAAGTGCAACTTGTTGGCTTTCAGGARCACTCAAAGAAATGAAGAGAAAACATTGTGGAAGTCAGTGAATGTTACTTTTATTGACCAAGCATGGGAAAAAATATGGAATCACTCAATTCTGAGGAAAAAATGGAATCACTCAATTCTGAAGAAAATATGGAATCACTCAATTCTGAAGAAAATATGGAATCACTCAATTCTGAAGAAAATATGGAATCACTCAATTCTGAAGAAAATATGGAATCACTCAAT